TGTTTGTCTAGTTTCTGGGAGTGACGCGCCACCCTCCTGACCGATGAAACTACGCGGATGTTGTTGACGGTGCTGTGCAGCGAGGCACCTAACTGCCCCGTACCGGTTTTTCTAGTCCTCTGCGTGCGCACTCTTTTTCGTCCAGAGCGTCATTTTCTTAGCATGGAGATAATTGGGGCGGGGGGGCATCAGTAGCACGTCCTGATGCGTACATGTGAAAATTATCTCCATGCTAAGAAAATGACGCTCTGGACGAAAAAGAGTGCGCACGCAGAGGACTAGAAAAACCGGTACGGGGCAGTTAGGTGCCTCGCTGCACAGCACCGTCAACAACATCCGCGTAGTTTCATCGGTCAGGAGGGTGGCGCGTCACTCCCAGAAACTAGACAAACACGCAGCATCATGTATCAACGAGGGGTTCTCTGTTGTGTGGCCCCGCGGATTGAAAGCTCCTCAAAATCAAGAGCTGATTGTGGCAAAAACAACAAAATCATCATCCTCGAAACGTCGTCTAGGAAACGAAACCACCACCCACACCGACCACAAAAAAACTCCGCCAAACACCACACATAACTGAGACTGCCGGCGGTGAAAAGAAGCTTCTCGCGCCGAAAATCGGACGACGAGAGAGCAAAAGCCTGCAGCTTCTCTCTTGACACCACCGAGATAAAACAGCATAAAAGGGTCCCCGCAGAATGCACACCCAAAAAGGACATACCGGCGTTGAGGGGGGGCTCGTACGGTGCGTCGACCCCGGTGAAGCCCTTCAGCTTGCCCTCCTCCACCTGCTTGTACAGTCCCTTGGGGTCACGCCTCTGCACTTCCTCGAGGGGCACGTCTAGGAAGACCTGGAACACACCCATGGTGTGCCACAAATAAGCACATTGTAGAAGGGGGGGCACAACAGAGGAAGTTTCAGGGTGGGTGGGGTAGGGAACATCTCGATGATTAGTAACCAGGGTCATGTACAGAGGGAGTACAAAAGACGACCTCCGCGTTGAAATGAGAAATATCTGGGTGGACACCCCCATGCTACGATCATGCCACGACTGTCCGAAGTGTCGTGGACGCTTGGTTGGGGCGAACAAATCCCTCCGAGAGAGGCACCAGCGAAGAACAAGACAACTATCATGCAAATGCACTGCACCGCCGTTGTACACATCTACAGAGCGGTGAGCAACGCGCCCATCACTTGTAATTCGAGAACAGCGCACACTTAAACTTTGGACTGGAAGGGCGGGACAGGAAGAGGACACCGTAGAAGCCGAAATCAAACCAATACACTCGTCAGCGGTTGACTAGTCTAATGGTTTGATTTCTGTACACCACAAGCCGTCGCCGCCCCGTGCGCAAAAAAACAAACAAATACACAACTACTTGGTACTGTACTATATGCATACCTCGAAGAAGGGGATGCCCTGGTCCTCGTGCCTCTTGCGGACAGCATCGCGGGCATCTCTGTCGCACACAAGGAACGCCAGGGACAACCAAGGACAGATGAGGCACAACAACGGGGTGCGAAATGTGAATGAAGGCTAGGGGAGAAACAGTGGTAACCTCGGGGGGGGGACCTGCGACTCCAAACAAAGGTGGTGACATCACCACACGTGTCAACACGATCCCCAACACCGTCCCAACAACCATAACACACAACGCCTGAGCACATTGAACACACTAGCGTCGACAGAGCGGCTCACGCTGTTTGCGAGCAGGCTTACCGGTAAGGAGAGACGAGAGACACGATGGTGATCGTCCCCGAGTCGGAGAAGAGGCAGGAGGTCTCGCCCACGCGTCGGACCGACTCTCCGCGGTCCGCCTCCGAGAAGCCTGAAAAGAAAAGAAACAAAATCGAAAAAAGAGGTGAAAAAAACGCGAAAAACACGGAACGAAAAAGCGCTCTGTGCAGACACAGAATTGGCCTCGTGACTTGGTGTTGTCCTAAGGGCGCAAATCATCCATCCTGCCGAACACACAAGCAAGCGTGAGCTACACTACCCTCTTGCTGTAAGAGCATGTAGGAACATTTAAGAATCTTAGCTTCAATACTGTAGGGGTACCGCGCGTGGATACTGCAACCCCCAACAACCCTGAACCACAAACCAAAGGTCCCTGTCTTCGAGAAGAGCTCGCTGGGGATGTTCACAAACCCGCCCCTCCACAAAAAATGCAGCGGACCGATATACCTTCCCGTCCCTTCGACACCGTCTTGACACACACAGACACCGACACCGACACCGACACCCCAAAACTGAAAAAGGACTACTTATACTGTACTCCAAAAAAAAATTGAAAAAAACACCCAAAGCTCTACACTACAATGTATTTATTAAAGTGGCAATTGCGAGTCGCACCAAGGTCGCGGTTGAGCCCGGTGCGGATGTTGTCCCCGTCCAGCCGGTAGACGTGCTTGCCTCCCCTCAGCACCAGCTCCTCCTCGAGGGCCTTCGCGATGGTGCTCTTGCCGCTGCCGCTGAGACCGGTCATCCACAGGGTAGCACCCTTCTGCCCCACGGCCGCGTATCGCTGGGGCCTGGGCAGGTGGCACACCTGTTGGTTTTGTGTTTTGTTTTGTTTTTCAGAGGAACGAAAGAGGAAGGAAAGGGATGGGACAGGGTAGGGTTTTCGCTGAAAAACAACATGATCTCCGCGAAAAAAAAAAAAAATGACACCTGCTTGGCTTCTCCACAATTTTCCTCATGGAAATCGCAAGTAAAACAACACCCACATTTGGCTTTTTTTCTCTTTTTCGTCGATGTTGACGTCTTTCTCCCGACATCCATACCAGACGTCACCCGCTATTCCATGCCGGCACAGAAGAGCAAGCTGCCGAATGGAAACAATCAATCAGGCATGGCAAGACAACTACGTTGCTCCCGCCTCCAAAACGCACAAAACAAACACGCCCAACCATCCCCCGCCACCACGCCGAATGAGAGTGCTAGTCTACACTACTATTTTAACACAAACCTCCTGAGAGCCGCCTTCCCCAGCCTCTGAGCACTCGATGATGTGCGGGGTCGTCTGCTCCAAGCTCTCCTTCCGGCACTTGCCCACGTCGAAGTCGGCGCAGGTCAGCTCCGCCACACCGCCGCCGCGCACAGCCGGCGCAGCCGCCGGACACACGGGGCAGGAGGGGCACGGCTCGCACTGCGCCGCAGCCGCCGGTGGTGATACAGGAGGCGTCGGAACGCCGGGGATGTCGGCGGAGGACCAGCCGCCTGCGCCGGACTCGCCGCCGTCCAGCTCGGCCACTGGGATCTGCAGAGCGGGGGGCACGGTGCGGAAGTGTTGTCGCTGTTGTATGGTACATTGGGGGGCGGCGACAAATACTTTTTACAGCTGGAAAACGTAGAAGCAGCCGAAAACCACAGCTTAGACTGACTGGTAGACACAAATGAGCTGTTGACTATAAGAGTCAGGCTATGATTTGAGTAAGACTTCAACCATAAGAAGCACGCAAAAAAAAAGACAAAAACAAAAAACACAAAATGTAATTAAAGAGTGTCTTACCGTGGGCTTGTCGGCCAGGCTTGGGCACACGCAAGCAGCATTCTCGGTCCTGATGTGCAAAGCAAAACGGTTGGTTCATCGACGGAGTCAAGAGGGGGGTGTCAGGACAAGGGGGAGCAAAACCAGAATCGGGAACGGGGGGGGGTAAAGGACAAAGTAAAAAATAAAACAAACTCCATCGATCAACATTTCAATACTCCAGGCATGGCAGAGGAATGCGGCGAGATGTGCTCCCGCTCGACAGGGAAAAGACTACTCCGGTGTGTGAGGCCACGCTCCGCACACACCAACTCACTAGCCCATGGCCAACGCTATCATCACCACAACCACCACTCTACAACCATCCCACAGAGAATCAGCAGCAACAGCAACAACGCTTGCCTGGCCAGAACGTAGACGATGGCCAGGAGCACGAGCATGGCCATGCAGTAGGGCATGCGCTTGGAGATGAGGCTGTCCCCGTCGTCCCCGTCCCCGTCACCGCCTCCGCGGCGGTGCGGAACTCCCAGGGGGCCGATCCCGCCCCCTCCCCCGCTGGGGGAAGAGAAGGAGGACGATCTCGCCGCCTCCGATGCCGCCGCCTTCTCGCGTTCATCCTGTTCGTTGATTTGATTGATCAAGAGGCGCAGGCAGTAGATTGGTGGTAGCAGCTCGGACGGATGAGCCTACCATTTTTGGTTCTAAAAACATCAGGCTAGAGTTGCCAGCTGTTGGCAGTAGAAAGTAGCCGCGAAATTGCTGTGCATGTGTAGGCGTATGTGTAAGCACGGTGGTAGTTTCCGTGGTTTTTCCCCAAGCCGAAAATGCGAATTATCTAGTGGAGTCTGTCACCCCGGCAGTTCAGTTGGTGCCCTCGCAAAATGTCCGACTCGACAAGCACGGCGGGAAGAGGGGGGGGAGTGGAGAGCAAAAGTAAAACCCGGTGTTAACCCCTTTAGGGCTGGATCGCCTTTCGGGGACACTTTTTGTCCCCATCTTCTTCACCTGCTTTACCTCGCGAAGATTGGCATGATTGTCTCCTCCTTTGCAGTACTCGACCAGGGGGGTGCCAGGGTACACAGGGACGACTCTAGTCTAGTATGGATGCTTTGTAGAGTGGAGGAGTATGAGGGTAATGAACAGGTCGAATCGCGGGGCGATTACGCCGCCGGTTCAACAGCGAAATTGCGCCGCGTCTGTCTACCCTTGGGTGGAAAGCGCTACTAGGGGCAAGCGCGGAAGAAGTACCTAGACCACCGTTGATAGGAGGCACCAAGCAACCTAGGGCTTGAGTTAGAAGGTCTCGCTTTCCCTCTAGAGAAATATCTTGAAAACCTCCTTTTCGTGCCCCGTTTGCCACGCTCCCGCCAGTTGCTGTCTATATTCCCTATCAATTGTCCCCTCGTGTCCCCTCGAATCGAGGGGACAATTGATAGGGGTTATAGACAAGAGACGGCTCAAGTGGGAAGGCAGCTTTGCACTTGCACCCAGGGATGGAACTGTCTGCACCATCCAATCAGCGGGCGTCGTTCGCTCTTTTTCTTACATTTAAGAAATTTCGCAAGACCGCCCAATTTTCTGTGCGTGGTAAGGGGGTTAAAATCCGGTGATAAACCTCCCTCCTCTCTTCTGTGTGACCGGACCACCTTCAATAGGAAAATGAAATAGAGAGGGGGGGCTCGTATCCTACCCCTAACCCTAAGCTTACCCAATTATACGAAAACAAGGGATGAATGTCGTCGCGAAGGCTGCTGATGTGGCCCCGGTTGGTGGGTCAAACACCTTCTGAGGTCAACACTGACGCCCAGACTAGATCGGACAAAACACACAAATAAATATTGTCTGCATACACACCTTGATTTCATTCTTTGTTTTTTTGCTCTCAGCGAAGCAAGAGAGACGCTCTACCCTCACAAAAAGAACACCGAATCCGCTCATTGGGGGAGACTTGACAGTCCCGAGGGACGAAGGCAAACTTGGTTGTAGACAGAAAAGTGTCCCCAAATGGACGGGGACACTTTATACTGAAACCAAGTCAGCAATTGTTTCCAGTTCTAGGCTACATAGGCTTTACCAACAAGGGGACACGCGGCTTGGGAGATATATGTGTACAACAAGTCAGACGCCGAGGAGAGGCATCACACAGCAGGCAGTAGGTCACACACGATCCACCTCAAGCACGGTAGACACGGTTTCCCACGTGCGATTAACACATCGGAGCCTGGTGACGACTACAGACAGCAGTGCGACAACTTTGAGTGCGTGTCCCCAAAGTTTTCCCATTTGGGCGTCCAGTACAGAGGAAGGAGGAGGAGGAGGAGGGCTCGGGCGCACTGCTGTCACAGCAGTCACCTACGCATACGAGATCTAAGGCCAAGCGTTTCTTGACACCCGTAAATCGTTCGAAATCACAAAAAAAAAACATACTTCCGCCACGTACTTATCGAGCTGGCTCCAGCGTAAAACCCAGCAAAGCCCCCTTTTTCCTGTGCTCGCAAAACTCCGCTATTCAGTCTTTCGACCGACAGCAGTGCTGTCCCGCTTTGATGTGTAACGTGTGGTAGCCCGTCGCGCTCTGCTGTCGGCGCGGCTGACGCATTGAATCATGTTCTCCCATGGGTGCCTATTGCTTGCATAGAACTCCGCCTTCCGCAATTATATCGTGCCAACAGCGGATTCTCTACACCCGCAACTGTGGTTGTGATCACACACCAGAGCATAGAGTGTGGGATTCGTTGAGCATCATGAACAGACGACTTGTTAAGTCTCAAGGATCCCGTGCATGTCTCAACTTTCTCCCCTTACGGAAATGAGTTGTTGTGGGCACGCGTTTATCTTGACACCGCAGGCACCAAAGCCGAGTGTGCCACACATTCGGGCATCCAAGAATATAAATAAATAAATCCCCGTTGGAAAACAGGAGCGGAGACACATCCACAGACGATTGCATGAGATGTTGTACGCCTGCTGCCCCGCTTCCGACAGATGAGAAAAAGACGGACGGCTCCCAACAACACAGAGATTAATCAGGAACGTGCGGTCCAATTCCTCCGCTTCGAGTACATGTACGTGAGGTGTGTGGGTGTGACCGGCGACACGCCGACTCTCCATACGAACGACGAACACGGATTACCGCTGATGCCGAACAAAATGGAAAGGAGCGAAAATACCATGCAAAAATGGCCGGAGTAGTGCTTGCTTACAACCCGCCCCCCCATTGGTGCAGGAGGCGACTGCGAAAGGCAAGGGAAGGCATTCAGACGTCTAGGTCATCAGAGACTGAGGGGTAGCAGAAAACCGTTGGGTACGTTTGTGCACGGCCAGGGTTGGGTTATAGAAGTATCATTTCCGCCGCCTTTTTGCGGGAAAGGTGTGTCTCGCAACATGATATGCAGCACAGAGGAGACGGATAGACGAGCAGTGACCCCCAAATTAGAAAGCAGAGGATAACGCAACAATAGGCGGTGGGAATACATGCACCGCGAGGCATCCTCGGGCATGTCCCAGTGCTATCTACCGCCCCGTCACACCTTTGCACAACCAACAATGGCCCTCGCGCGACTCCAAGAAGAGAAGGCGAGATTGAGATTGCCACTACTGGTGATTCGATTCGCAGCTCAGAATGCATGGCCGCCTCCTGGCTTGTCCATCACGACCGAGTGTTCTTCCGACTCAACAAGCCCGGTACCCCCCGGGGGGGGAAAGGAGGGCTGGAGAAAGAACGAGGGTCGTTGCTGACAACCGTATGAGGCCGTAAGGGACAGCAGTCCTGCAACACTGCTAAAGGCCACGGAGAGAACACTGCTGGTGCTGGTGGTACTGCTGTCTCGAAGTGCGGGGGATCACGCGTGCACAGCACCCATTTGGACGGGGGGAAAAGAGGGGGTGTGGGTAAACCGCTTGCGCACGTCGCTAAGCCGGGAAGAGGCGCACACAAGGGGAGCACCTCTTCCCTTCCCGCAGTAAGACCAAGCGTCGAACAAATGCGGGCTGGAGCCCTTAGAAGGAACACCACTGCTGTCGGCGATGTCCCACGACGACAACGCGGACATCATCGGATCAAACAAACGTACGATACCACATCACCAATAAACACACCATACCTGAGCCACCGGGGCGTACTTGTACACCGCCATGGTGTTCCCCCCTCCGATTCTTCAAAAAAAAAACCGGTTGCCAAGGCTAAGAATGCCGAGGCTTGGTCTCTGCAGGCCTGCGCAGCAGCAGCACTGGTCGTGTGTGCGGCTGTCACTGCTTTGTCGTGGTGTGTTGATTTCACGCTTCCCAGCTTCCACAACCCTCGGGGGGGGTACGCAAATAGGAACTCCCTGAAGAAGGGAGGGGGGGGGGCTGGCCCGCCCGCACCCGTCGCTACAGTTTCAGATCCAAATCGACAGCAGCGATGCGATGCCGATCCATCGGTGGCTAGTGGAGCAGTGCTTGCGCTTCTTGCCCCTGTAAGAGAAGAATATCGCCACCTTACGTCCTGTTACCGTCATCTTGCACTACCATCCTGCACTGCTGCGGTATGGTGTTCTTCAGGCACACACGCTTAGCGGCGCCGTTACACACAGGCACCGCGGTGTTTGCCCCCCGCCCAGCTAGCCCGCCGTCTCGAGGGCAAGATGCTTCACAGCTCAGGATCCCAACTTAGCCCCTATTTCAGAACGCCCCCCAGCAGAGTGGAACGAAACTTGGCACACTGCGTCGGGGGGCATGACACAAAGCATGCAAGCCTAAAACGCGTACAAATACGGTACGGCGGCTAGCAACTGCTGCACGCTGTCGATTGCATCCTGAGTGATCATGCGGTACAGAGTAGCACACCAGGAACGAACGGTGGCTTCAGACGGGGGTGCCGGGGCACACGAAAGCACGGACATGAATATGTACACAGATAAAGACTAGTCTACTGCAAACAGTTCAACTTTCACAAGCGTGGGCCACGGCTTTCGCAAGGACATGTTGGTCACAGGGCGAATCTTCTTCGTGTACGCACGGTAGACCGTTGGACACACACCACAAAAGTGGAAGACAAAAAAGGCACCCTGCGAAAAGGACTATGTACGTATTATTGTACCGTGTACCACCATCGTCAAAGGCAACGCCTACACACGGAACGGCATCCAAATACTTCAAAGACGTATAATTCTACGCGTTCACACGGAACGACATCAATCAAAATAATGCAAAGACGCAAACAGATAGTAGATAGAGTGATGCATCCGGCTCAAAGGCTTAACAAGTGACACTCTCTTCAAGTTCACCCCAGCCCCCCTTCGAGAAAAAGTACAACACGAGGATGCATAGTTTCGAGGAGGCTCAAAGGTCGTCGTGGTCTTCTTCCTCGTCATCACTGCCAGTACAGTTTCCTGGCGGGCCAAATTGAGTGGTGATGGGGGATCGATCGGAGGGCGTGTGACAACAGCGTCAGTACCACCACACCATTAAACACACTGAGACCAACAGTGATTATACTCCATGGTAGTCCTTTCGCTCACTTCATCCAAACTACCAACCCGCCAGCAGAGGTTGAATGGTGGCTTCACGGTGCCCGGAAAACTACGGTTTGTTCGGAGTGCAGTGGGCACCGTGCGGTACATACAATACGTGCCGTCTCCGACGGAGACACATACAGACTACAGTAGATATCCCCTCAATAACACTGGAGAGGAGGTACCGGATATATGAACGCCCATGTAGGCGTACAGTTACACCACAAACAAAGACCCCTCACCGGCTATGATGTCGCGTAGGGACATGAAGGTGGCGGGCATTCGCGTAGCGAGGCGGCCACCTCCTCCGTCTGGGAAACCCTCCCCATCTCCCGCTCTCCTCCCTGCGTGGTTCGACACTTCAGCCGGCGCGGCTCCTCCCACGCCAGCCGCCGACTCCTCCCAGGCCTCCGGCGCACCACCGCTTTGGACAAGGTCGTAGTCGTCCAAGTACACCCGCGGACGCTTCGATGGTGGAAGTCCATCGTTCGGAGACTGTTCAACCGTACCGCTGTCCGGCGCACCATCGGCAGGCGCTGTTCCGCCATTAGCACTGCTGCCACCACATGATGTTGCCGACGATCCCGATAGGTCAATGACCCGCAAACCCGCGTCATCCCACGAGCGCTTGCTCCGTGAGGTCGAGGTGCTCGGAACCTCCACCACGGGGCTGATATTCGCGCGGGCGGTAGGCTGCGCCTTCTCTCCCCACCAGCATGCTCCGATTCCAATTGACCCGCCGGAAGTCACGTCGCCGGGTTTGGGTGGACCATACGACGACACTGTGCCTTCTTTCGCACCCGGCGGTGGGCTGTCGTTCTGTACTGCATCGGGAGGTGCTCGCCTGGCGCAAGGCCGCACGGACTGAAGCTGGGCCGCGTCGTAATCTTGTTGGCCTCCGTCGCCCCTCCGGCTGTACGAAGAGGCGGACGTCGTAGAAGGCCGGCTGGCGTGCTCGAAGGTGTAGAAGTCACCGCTTGTAGTCCCGCTCCCTCCATCGTTCTTGAAACAAGATGACGTGGCAAGCATTGGAAAGCTGCGGTTATGGCCTGTTGGTGCAGGTGACTTAGACGAACACATGGAATGGCTGGAACTGCTTGGGCGTGGTTTTCCTACTCTCAACTGTTGAAACAATCACGGCCGAACGTCGCGAGGGTGTGAGAATCTACGCTAGACATGAACATGTCTTCCTATGGTAGGCGAGCGCAGGTCGTATGTGTGCTACCCCGAGAGTTGCGTTTGACGTGAGCACTCACTCACCTCGTTGCCAGGGGACCCAGGCGAGTATGCCCTAGCGGGGGCAGGGATGTTGTTGCTCGTAACTGGTGATTCCGTGAAGCGTCGCTCAAACGTGGGAGCAGGGTCGATGAGGTCGCCATGGTAGGATGGTTCGTCGTCCTCTTGCTCCCCCTCTTCGTCATCGGTGATGTCCATTCCGTTTCCTGGTGGGCCGGATCAAGTGCGAGGGCGTCCGGCGAGAGCAATTTGACGGGAAAGTCAGTGTCATTTCACCGCCACCAACGCGGGTTTGGACAGTTGGAAAACATCGGCAACGATATCAACTACCTCACCGGCAATAATGCTGCGCAGGGAACCGAACATGGTGCGGGGTCGAGCAGCAAGGCCGCCGCTTCCGTAGATTCCACCTTCTTCGTCTAGGTGGCGCTTCCCGTTTCCCGCTCTCCTGTTTGATTGGTGGCGGATTCCACCGACGATGCTCTTGTACGAGATCGACGATGCTGGTGACGAAGGCGCGGACGCTTCCACACCAGCTGTGGACTCCTTCGAAGCCTCCTCCTTACCACCATCAGAGGCACTGCCCCTGAAACACTCGCTCCCTCCGTCGTTCTTGGAACAACATGGCATATCAAATCAAGCATGCGGAAAGCTGGAATTACGGTATGATTTGTGCACATGGGATGTAGAATGGTTGGTACTGCCTTTTTGTGCGCGTTATATTGCGGAACTATCGGATGGAGCGTTTCTCGGGAAGCAAGAGTTCTCTAGAAACGGATATGTTTGTGTTGGATGCGTGCATACAGATACCTCGAGGTCTGTTTGACGTGAGCACTCACCTCGATGCCAGGTGTCGATGGCCAGCTCAGCCCACTGTCTGTCGAGGCCCCCTCATCTCCATCCCCGGTGTACCCCTCCGAGACCGGTGGCTGGTAGTACGCGACCTCGGTCTTGCTCGTGCCTGATGATCCCATGAAGCCTCGCGTCGACCTGGGAGGTGTTACCGTGAGGTCGGCATTGCGATCTTGAACACCGTGTTGCACGTCGTCCTTGTCGTCGGCGGTATCCATGTCGTGTCCTGGTAGAGCAGATCAAGTCCGAGGGCATATATATACATGCAGTGAGAGGTGTTGGACGGGGCAGTCAGTGTCTTTTCACCGTTATCACGACATAACAAGGGGTCCACGAGAGTTAGTCTCGATTTCCGGTCGCGTTGACAATCGTTGCTTAGTGCAAAGCGTACCAACCGACGACAAAGTAAGAGGTTTGACTCATATAGAATGATTTCTTCCTTCTACAACAGAAAACCTTTCCTTTTGCTTCGGGGGCACTGGAGTGGAGTTACTTGACTCAAGAAGAGAGAGGTCAACGCACGTCCCGTGAATATGAAGACACACAACAACAATGGCACAAACCTGAAATGGTGTTGCGAGGTGAACCCAACATGGTCGGGCTACGGGTAGAAAGGCTGGTGCCTCCGTAGCTTCGGCACTCTCCGTCTAGGGAACACTCCCGGTCTTCAGCTGTCCTCTGTGGGTGGTTCGATTGGTGGTGGATTCCACCGAAGCTCTTGCATGAGGTCGACACAGCTGCGGGTGTCCACGGCGAGGACGCTTCCGCCTGAGCTGTGGACTTCTCCAAAGTTCCCTCCGTGCCACCATCAGAGACATGACCCTTGTAGATCCCGCTCCCTCCGGCGTTCTTGGAACAACATGGTATATCAAGCACACGGAAAGCTGGAGTTACCGCCTCTTGTTGCAGGTGGCTCGGCTGAAGAATGAACGGTTTGGGAACTGCTTGGTACGTTCTCTTGCGGAACTACAAAAATAATCACTCATGTCAGGTGCGGTAGGGTGCGTGTGGGGTCTGCATGAGTGAGAAGGCAACCTCGGGGTCTGTTTCGACGTGAGTGCTCACCTCGTTATCGGCGGACCCAGACCGGTATTCGCTACCGTGGGCGGGGACGATGCCGCAAGTGGCCGGCGATGGCGGCGAGTCCATCACGGGCCGCTCCAACCTGGGACAAAACGTCGATCAAATCCGGTTTGTATGTTTGTGTGTCTCGGCGTTGTCAAGGGCATGTCGCTCTGGGTTGTTACGCACATATGTGAGCGCTAGACGGACGCACGCACTGACCTCTACAGTAGGCTTGAAAACTACTAGGGGGATCCCGGTAAAGTGCGACGGGACACAAACCAATCAAACGTGTTCTTCGGTACTTCGCACAACAGCCAGCCGTGTTTGTTTATAGAACGGTACGTCTAACGATGGTGACTATATTGGGGTGAGCTTGCCAAATTTACCAGAGACCCTCCTTTTCGTCGGCGACACACGGCACGATTCAGTAGTATCCACACCTTTCGTGTCCATCGTTTCGCCGCCCCACACCGAGAACTGGCGCCAGCGACAAGCCTGCTGCGCTGGATTGGCTTGGTCCTGCACCCTGCGAATCACACCCGATGCCGTTCATCATGTCGTTTCTGAGAGACGCCTTGAGAGCGGAACGCCTGGCTGATCTTACCCTAGCCGCAGCTGCGAAGAAGGTACGGTGGGCCGACCACGGCTCGTTGCTAATTCCAAATTCCAAGTCATCGCTACCTCCGGCTGCCGGTGCGTCCACCTTCGGCGGGAAATCGTTCCAAGGGTCCGTGTACTGCTCCATGCTAAGACCCCTCCGGACTGTTGGCTGAGAGCTCGTGGTGTACCTGATCGAGGGAGACGCTCGCCTCGCAGAGCCCGAACGAGGATCAGCCCATAATCCGCCGCTGCCGGAGTGCGATGCTTTGCTCCCATGCCCGCGTCTGCCGCCAGTGCCGCGGTCTTTCCCCCCACCTCCCCAGCCTTCCCCACCTCCTCCTCCCCCACCTCCTCCTTCCCCACCGCCGATCCCATCGATGCCCCGACTTGGCTCAACGATCCTAGACGGTTGTCCCTCGCCGCCCGAGGCTCCATTCCCGTGCTTGACTGGCCTCGCGGAAATTCCAGCCCCTCGCACGGTTCCTGTCTCGCTGTCTGCCTCACTGCTTCCGGCCGTGCTTCCGCCGAAGACTCTTCGTGTGACGCTGCACGGAAACAGGAGGCGCCAGAGACTGAACCGCGAGCGTGCGGCCGTGGAGGCAGGGGCCGATTGCTGGCGCGTCGTAGCGGACCCCGCCGGTGTTTGGTCCGGGCCCAACGATACGGATCCTGTCCTCTTCTTCGTTACCTGAGTACAGGATGACGAATTAATTCAGCGGGAGGGGTGTTGGTTGGTGGAGGGGTGGGTTCCTTGTAAGGCGATATGGTATACTGCTGTATCATCACAAGTCTATATGGATGCATGTCATCGATCGGCAGCGGTCGTTATCGGAGTACCTGTGGAGCACAAGCGCGCTCGCTCGGCCAATCTAAAACCTACCCTCGGGGTCTGGAGCTTTTTTGGGTGTCATCAGGAGATGCAATAACAACCTATCGATTCCAGACCAATATTCCTCCCTCGACGTATCCGAAAGAGCAGGGCACACCACGGCAGAGAGAGGTGGCGTTTCCTGGACAAGCGCGCGAGCCCCTATAACTCAAACTCACCCCATATCGATGAACTCTCGCATCCCTTGCTCCTCTGCTTCGTCCGCTGTTGGTCATGTCGTCAGTTGACTTGATGCTTCTCTGGTTATTTGTTTTGATGCACACACGCCGGCCGGTGCTGGCACGACCGGTATACGGTAAACGGTATCCTTCGTCGCGAAAGACAGGGTAGGAGGCCGAACCGTCTCGAGGATGACACGCGCAGATCTTGTGCTGCACGAGAAGTAGTGGTTGGTCAGCGGCTGCCTTACACCGCGCTTCAGAGTACGATCGATGAGGCCAGATTGTACTGGTCAGGCAACTTCTCGCCTTCGCCTCTCTCCAGTAGCAGCAGTGTTGTAGTATTAATAATACCTCTCGGCTCAACAACCCCCACGGTCGTTCAGTGTTCAGGCTGAGGCGACAACGGAGAATCCGCTGTTGTCTACGTCGCGCTGCCCCACAACCTGCCGATTGTGGTTGAACTTCCTTGACTTGGGAACAGGGACTTGGGTCTTGTGTTGGTGCTGATGTGTGACCAGGCAGGCACCGCGAAAAGTGCGTAACGAAACGAGGAGACACATGTCATTTTTTTGGTCGCTCCCTTCGTCGGCGGAAATCCGAAACCGTCGATATCTGTTTTGGTTGACTGCAATGGTTGACACAGGATCTCACATCCTCGCACGATCCCATCCATCCCCGTCAAGTTTGTCTTTCTCCGTCCTCAACATACTGGGAAGCATAGGCTCCACTCATCCGCAAACACGTGGCATATAGGCGCTGTGGATAGCACATAAACTTGACCTGCACGACGACCACCGGTATACATCGATCGGAGGCATACAGTGTCTACATAGATGATCTGTGACCCGGAGAAGGCAGCATCTCATCCCCGGGTGTTCCATACATACAAGCCTGAGCAGCAGTCACACTTGTTGTTTGTGTGCTTAATCCGGTGCTTTGGCCGCCTTGAGCAGCACGAAGAACTCGTCCGTGATGCTCACCCAACTGCTTCAACAAGGAAGTGTTGACTCGTGGCGCGATCAGATAGATGCTTTCGAGACAACATGCGCTGCTGTACTACTACTGTTGTCCGCCATCCATTCATTGCTTCTGAGAAACATTGTACCGTGGTCTCAGACGAATTCTGTCGAGAGGGGTCGCGACCTTCGGATAGACCTTTGGTAGGCCATTATTAACGAAAGCGCTTTCCCCGCGAAACACGCAACAGTCTAATGTGCTGCTGTAGATCTATCGGTGTTGTTGTGTTGTTCCTTACTCTCTTCTTTGGCGAGCAGGTCGTCGTTGTTCACCAAGAGAAGAACATATATGTCTCGCATCGCATTTCTCTTGTGGTTTATTCGGGAACGAACGCGCGTTCAACCACAGGCACCCATTCCAACCAGGAAGAGTATCTGGGACTTGGTGCGAAGCTGTAGCCCCTTCGTTTGATAGGCGCCATGTTGTTGGTCAGCCGCGATGTTAGAAGTCGTGGCGACGGCAACAATTATTGTCGAATGACTGGATGGACACCGACACAATCCACAGAGTCAGTCTTGAGAGTCGCAGGAGGCCGCAAATACAGTAAACTTGTGCATCTTCTGTATCAGTGACCCTGGCTGGTTTTTGCGTTAGATGAGAGAGACCATGCCCCTTCGCCACTTAGACTAGTGCTGCTGCCGGCATGTACCGGGCCGGTTCTAACCCCAAGCGGGTACCGGCCAAAATGCTTTCAAAGCGCATGTTAACAAGAAACAAATGTCCCAACAGCTGTGGCATGGATGCATCGTCACCGACCGGCTGGCTCTACCGGGAGTATGCATAGCACCATCAACCGAGAGAGGCATTCATTGCCGTTGAGCGTTACCCAAGCTGGTGTGATTGCACCGCACCACCGCAAGCTTCAACTCGCATCCACATGCTTATCGAAGACGGCAGCAGTGAGTGGTGGATAACTGAGGCACACCAACCAAAGCGAAGATATGCAAGATGAAAAGCACAAACAAGTAAGTAAGTCTGGTCGAGAAACCGATGCGTTTGGTTTTTATTGAGGCCGTTCCTTGGCTTTGCTTTCTATTGGTTGGCTGCCGAGCTTCGCATGTTCAGCAGCCAATTAACGCGCGACTCATCAAGGCACGCTCCCGGGGGAAAATAAAAATACCAAGCACGCAAACACCCTCGTTGCCCAGGAGCTAGCCCATCTAAATACCACACGAGGGTACCCCACCCTTCTCCCACCCGTTTCCCTCTGCCTGCAAGGGTCACAGGCAGCCATGCCATTAAGGTCCGCTCAAAAGTTCCGCGAACAGGCTAAAGGGTATTCAAGGGAAAATATTCACCCTGGCTTAATAATGTTGGCGGTGGGTTGCTGCATGCCAAAAGCCGCCAGGGGCGGGGCGGGTGGGGGGAGGGGGGGGTAAAACAAACCCAGAGTAACGCCTATTCAGAGGCCATCTGTCGGGGCCCCCGAAGAGGCTCTACAACACTACCCCGAAAAACCGTTACAACGCTCGTGGGTGCATCGTCCACATGTGCGTGTGGTACGGTATCTCATCTAAAAATGTACGAACCCCTTCCTTCGGCACTACATAACGCACAAACTTCTGTGATCGATCAACCACGAACTACTCTACTACGTCTTTGGAAGAGAGCCAGCACAGCAGCGAAACGCAGCAGCTGCAGCAATGTCGGTTAACTAAACGGTTTGCAGCATTAGTAGCCCTGTCCCTCGAGGAACGGAACGGCGCCCTTGATCCAGTGCTCTGAAGCGCACGCCGCCACCGAGATCATGGCCAGACGGCCGTTCTTGAGCTCCTGGAGCCGCAGCTTCTCGACGGCCGCCTTGCCCCTGTGTGGCCGTAGAAGGGCACGGCCGCGAAGGGGGGGGGGATCGAGCGTAAAAAGAAACGAAACGAATTTGAACAACAGTGGACCACAACGCAAGTACGAAAAAATAAATGGGTACACAAATGTTCCCGCTTCGTGATGAGCTCGCCGATATCGGCAAACGCTGTACATTTTGTATACCCCGCTTGAATTCTGAACGGAGAACACTCTCCGCCTTCAACATTGCGTCCAGAATCTCGTCGTCTTCGACGATGTTCCGCAGTCTTTCCGGAAAAGCCCCTCCGACAAGCGCTCGTTACATCAACATGACCAGCGCAATCGCTACACAAGACACGTTTTTCCGCCGTACTTTCAAGCTTCTGGGGGCATCAACTATGAGAAAACCCGGGGGATGTCAACGCGTTCGGGCAGGACGAATAATTCCAAAACCAAAGGCGCAACGACGGTTCACACACAAAAAAAAAAGAAAAAAAGGGACAGCACTCTCTTGAAACTTGCACGTACAGAGTAACCGCACCGAGTATTCGGGTACTTGCTTCGTGTATAATATTCAAGTGAGGGCACTACTACATCATGGCCAGGGGTTCCGTAGACGCAAACCACGACGCCTCCTTTGTATTGCACTTGCCGGAATACGTTCCGCCGGCCACCCAAGCATTGCCATACCGTATGCATACCCGACACAAGAGCCTCGGTTCGCTTCCAGGGATCCCTCCGACCCTGAGCGTATATTAAACGCAACACTTGAGCAAAAAAACACCCGTAGTACCAAACACGCTACACCAAAAGCACGACAGCATTGTGATATGTACAAAGTTGCAGCACAATAGTAAAACTTACGGCTTCTTCAAGTACAAGCCAAGGTCCCCCGCTTCGCGCTCTCCTCCTCCGCTCCAGAAGTCGCCGCAGTAGGTCGCACCCTCCGCCACAGCGAAGAACAACATAAGCTGCAGACAAAACAACCCACCACGTGACGCCGATTATCGACAGCAAGAAGAGAAGGAAGGAAGACAACAAAACAAAACCGGGCACCACAGGAAGGGGTAGGGATTTTTAATAGGGTATTAATCAAGATTCCTAGCCAGAAGGGCCAAAAGCAACGAGAGATCGGGTTGTCGAGAGCTCGTCACAGACCAAACAAAATCAGAGAAACCTCACCCTCTCTCTCCTGGTATTTCTCAAAGGACATGTTTGTGTTGAGCAGTCTCTACAGCGGCGGACTGGGTACAGAGTCAGTAAAACACATGATATCACAGCAAAGACTGCCCGCTCGAGGCAACGCCTCCATTTGTTCCGAGTCTTCTTACCTACACACACTCAGAAATCCGTTCCGCGAGCGACAAAGGCAAGGGAACACAGCAAACAAGACTACGCAGTCGAGAACATATTCCACATTTGTTCCCAGTCCTCTACGTACATCCACGCAGAAATCCGTTCCGCGAGCGACGAACGCAAGGCATCACAGAAAGACTTACGTGTTCGAGAAAAAAAATCTACATTTGTTCCAAGTCCTCATGCGTACATCCACCCCCAGACATCCGTTCCGCGAGGGAGCGAGCGGGAAGGGAAAAGGAAAGCGTACGTCTCAAAGGGTACGGCTAAAGAGTGCTACCGCTGTATGCAGGCACGTATTACCTGGGCCAGCCCACCCGGGTTCTTCGAGGCGAACTCGTGGAACTGGTCGTACCACGGCACGGCATCGTACCCCAGTCCAGGGAACACGAAGCCCGACTGGGCCGCTGCAGAGCAAACACGTACAGAATGAGGGGAGGGGGGGGGGGTGTACTCATAGTCGTGCATGCCGTAGTCGTTAGACCATTGACCTCGCATCCCTACAAAGCCGGGACGGAGCACGCCGGGTTCTCACCGGACCAGGCTCTCGCATCACCAAGCGCGAAGCGCCGTGAGGTATTTGGCGAGGGGAGGGGGGGGGGAAGCACACAAGGACTACAGCGACATGAACCGCAGCAGTCACCACAGCGATTATGTTTGTCTTACACCCAAGGGATACACCGGCTATGCATACAACACCACAATAGCAGAGCTCCGAACAGCAAGAGCAGCACAGCAGTCGAGGCAATTGACATCAACAACATACAACGGACGGTCACATTGTATTTTGCAGCCTGAACGGTTCTTCGCTTCCTGACGACTTACCCCAGATGCCAACGAAGGCAAGCATGCAGATGCGGCAGTGCTTGATCTCAGCCTCTTGCAGCCACTGCATTGCACGATAGAAAGGGGAGAGCGACAACGAGGACACACCAAGTCGGAGAGGGTGGATGGGGTTTTACGGTGTCACCTCAAAACCAGACCGTTGCACATCAAAACAAGCCACAGGTGGATGGAACAGCAGCAACCCAGCAGCACTCAACGCAGACTCAGGCAAAATAAAATGGTCGGAACTATCCCGTTACACATCACTCAATCTATTAGAAACTGCCCTGCGCGCCAAATACCTACTCATGCGGTGTGCAGACTTCACATCAGGTCAGGGCAAGGGTTGCAGGGTTATTTCGTATTTCAAACCAGGTTGCAAGGAAAAAAAAAAAAGGTTGTGTTGTTTCGGTCAAGCCCCTACGTCACCTCGGCAACGTAAAAAATAAAAAATGGAACGCATATTTTTTTCACAACCAAGAACAAAGGTACGTTAGCCGGGTTGCACGGAGGGGCCCGTCGCGATCCAAACGACACGAGATGCGCCGCGTTCTCGCAGCGCTTCGTCACCGCTGCGTCCGGCCTGCTATGTATCAAGCAAGTCTGCTGCCAAAAATGCTTGCTGGCGCTACATACTTTCCTACACAGGAGCGTCGCGACTCAAGAACCCTTAGCTTACGTGAGGCTCGTTTCTCACTCCTTCTGAGGGGGAACCTAACAGCGACGACATGTATGGGTTTTAGAGTCGGATCCGTAATTCCAACCCTCTAGTCCAAAGAAAGGTTTCCCCAATCCATCACTAGCCGCAGGCGTTTGCTGTTATCTTTTCTTGTCCTTTCTGGGACTGCTCCTGTCTGACCCCGGCATCGGATAGCGACAACATCTACGACATCTACGACGACTTGATCGACCAAGAGACGGCAAGCTGCACCGGTGTTGAGTGCATGAGAGCGACGGAGGTGCGCTACAGTCCTTCCACCGCCCCCAACGCACAGCAAACATCCGCATCACCGATGAAAGAAAGCACCAACACCAAAAGTCAACCAACTGTTGTTCACCCCCTCCCCCCCCCTTTTTTTTTGTGTCCGCCGATGTCGAAAAAATTCTTAAGTGCTTTTTCTCTACGCTATAGGCGGAACAACTGCGGTGTCCAGCAACAGGATCAACAGCACTACACCCGATCACGCGGATGAATGTCCGCGCGGAACCACTTTCAAGAGCCTACCAAGCACAAACAACGCACAATTAAATTCTGCGTACCTTGGGGTGGGGGTTGACGAGCGGGTTGATCGAGTGGAGCTCCGCGAGTCCGAGGGGGTCGAAGACGGCACCTCCCGCCTCCAGCGAAACGCCGACCTCGCCGTCCACGGCGCTCATCGACAAGGGCGTCTTAGACGATGCCTGTATTGCAGTAGCAGGAAGGATTGTATTGGTACGTAGTCAGGAAGAGGAGAGGAGAGAAGGAGAAAGAAGTAAGGTATCGGGAGGAATGGAACCAACACGAAAGATCGTGTCATCTATGTAGCACACTTGAATACTTTAAAGTGAATGTCGGTGTGTGTTGTCATGTAGCAAGAGATCGATATTCAGCAGCCGTTGGCGGGCGGAGGTCCATCGCACGCGCAATCGCGGCGGTTGACGAGGGCATCGTGCACGCGGCGGCGGCCTGCGCCGTAGCACAGCAGTACTGGAATCAAAACAACCCATCCCGTATGAAACAAGGCTCATACATGTATCGTAGGTGGACACGATTTGAAACCAATTTTCGCACACACCGTAGATAGAGAGGCGTTTGAGCTGTGTTTTGGTGTGTTTCCTTGCTCCTTATGGGGGCTCCGGGAAAGGCATTTTCAGAACTCGACAGGGGGGGTGGTAACTTCCACACGTGGTAGCGTGTACATAGTGGGCCCGTGGTCAAGGTGTCAACATTTTGCAAGCTTCCGCCGGGAACGTGTGCCTACCGCGAATATGTTGCACATGCGGGGCTGTCGTGTGAAATGTGTTCGTGAAAGAAAGCTTCATACATACGTCGCAAAACCAGCAACACATGCTCGATCGCTGCAGATACTTCAAACTTCAAACCACCACAGCTCCGACTGCCAAGAACAGTGCGCAAAACATATGCATATGGCACAAGAAGCTGCAGACGTGACTTGCTCACAGGCCACAGCGATCTTTTGTCTGGTGAACATCTCGGGGCGAACGGGTGCCTGTTGCACTTCTATGGCAGCGCTGACAAACGTACTTGCTTCCACTAAATTTTATGGCGCGACACTTGCTACTATATAATATTAATAAGAACAGCTGCGTCGTGTCGTCAAAAACATCGATAACGCACGTGCACCACACGCTACATCGCCCAAAACGACGCGCGTACGACCGGATCATGAACTTTGTCTCTCCTTGCCCACCCATGCCAATTTGTGCGACACTGAAAACAGAAAACAACCGGAACAGATAACATGCCAACATCTTCTTTTCTCTATCCCCTCTCGCCCCTCCCTAACAAAAAAAAAAAAGGTGCGGATGAAGCTGCTGCGGAAATCATGCTGTGGCGTGTATGCGTACGTAGCGGGGGCCTCCGAAACTCTGTGTGTTCCAAGTCTACAGCACATCTCTCGATCCCAAGGCACCATTCCAAGGCACCATTGCACCCGCGATGTTTTCCAGCTTTGTTTCCTGTGCCTATGCCCCCCGGCAGCAGCTCAGTCAAAAAGTCGCTGTTGCTACATACCAGTGCTTGGTGCGCATGATCGATCGCGGGCAACAACAACAGGATTCCCGCCACCATGGGTCAGAGTGGTGGCAGGAACTGCACCCGGGAACCATACACCAGACCCTACGTCCCTCGTTCATACTGCAGCCCTAGCGTTGCTGATGGTGTGCCCTGAAAGCTTGCAGTCTGTCACATGTTCGCTCGCGCGATAATGACGAACACAAACATTGGTACATAATGATGTCTTCATCCAAACGTACCTTGCTGAGCGATGCGGTAGGTGCCCGGAAAGCGCCAGGGGTCACGAAAGCGCTTGCCATTCCAAGCGAGCAAACGGCGGCTGCGGCGGTGACCTTCATGGTTTCAGAGGATAGTAGTACGATAGAGCTACGGCCGTAGGCGGAGCGAGTGCTTTAGCGCCCAGAAGGTGTGTGTTTGGAAGGCAGGAGCAAAAACAGGAACGCCTTTACTTTAGTCTAATACTAAAACTGAGTTAATTTTAGAGGATCGCGCCTCAACAGCCGCTCCCGTCCTACAGTGACACCGGGGACATTTACCAACCATCCCCGGAAAATGAAAGTAGGTATTTTTCTCCGCATGCGACCGCTGCTGTGTCGTTTTCTTGGCGAGCACTACTCTCATTCATTCATTCGACAACGCGCCATCCCCTTGGCCCACCTCCGTCAGAGCAATACTCCATCCACTGCGACGCATCCTTTTCTCATTTTTATTGGCTCGCCACAGATGGTGGCGGACAACAACAATCACCGATCATCTGGGGCGACGTGAGACATGCCGGTTTCACGGCACAGCGGTGTTGTACATACTACTGTACTAGACGATCTCGGTGTGTAGGCACACATTGTTGCAGTCTACACAATCTGGTTTCAAAGGATAGTGGCACAATCGAGCAAAAAGACCGCCACCATGTCCTCTCGTGAACATCATACTGCAAGAGAAACAACTATCCCCGTTTTACGTGACAAAGTTCAACTTGGTAGGAGTATTATTTTTGAACGACGCGTACTGCTGTAGTAGCATATAATGCAGCAGCGCAGACCTGCTTGGTCAGACTCAATGACAATGTAGATACGGTGTGCCGGCAGGGAATACCACCGAAGTCTAGCCTAGCGGTTACAAGCGTATATGTATTTTCCGTGTACCGTCGCATGTGCATATAGTCTCACAAGCACCAAAACCATCTCGCAGCATGACTTATTTGTAGTCGCTTTGATCTCTAGACTACTTAGTCTACATGTCATTCCCACGACGAGGGAAGAGGAGAGAAACCACATAGCCAATCGCCCACACACACGACGAAGCTCTTGGACTGTATGTATAGTCTTGTTTGGTGGTGCTTGGTTTACAGTTGGGTCAGGGTTTTGGTATGGTTCAAACTAGGATACAAGGGAACAAGATTGACCTGTGCCTTGCTTGGTCGACCTTTGCTTCCCACAAGAGTCAGTCGTGAGACTCCTCCTTTCCGAATACAAGTCATTCGAAAGCATTACGACCACTACCACCTACATGTAGCCATCGACGACCTCGCCAAGGGCGTTGGTTTTTGTGACGGACAGCACGGTGCAAGAGACTACGTAGAGGGTCACGCACGGCCTGCCCTGGACCGCGTTTGCTGTTCTTTCGATCGTATCGTGTCGTGTCCTCCGTAACCCCCGCGGGCAAGGAGAAGAGCCGGTCCGTCTACGAAAACATAAATCACAATCCAGGATTTACCATCATGAAAAAAATGATTGACCTCGAGGGAACTCGCGCATATATATAGATCCATACGCATACTTCTACACGGAAGGAACAAGACAACAATCAAAACACAAATACACGAATGGGTAAAGGTTGGGAACATACTAATGTAGTAGTGGCGGGGGTTGCCGTATATATTACCGGTAGTGCTGTGCAAACGAAACACTGTTGACTTCCCTCCCGTCACAAAGAAAAAGCATAGATAATCTAATCACCAGACGAACGTTCGAGTACTGCTGACTATTGCTGTGCGCAAGACCACATGAAGTGGTGGGGGAATGGTACGCGCATGCAATGCGTGTGTGTGCCCATCACCACCATACCCGCATGCATGTGTGTCCCGCTGAATTCTTAGGGACGGAACCTCTGAGCACAACGGCAACAACCAACAGCAGCTGGATAGGACAAACATCAACACCGTGGGAGTACTCTAAACACGGGCCAGCCTCCCGCCCTGCACATATCACGCGGGATGTAGACGTTACGTGCGAAGGGTGCCCATACCCTCTTATTCCCGTTCCCGTCCCTATTTCCTCGTGACGAAAAACAAAACCTAGAGCACCCCCCCCCGCTGACAACGAATCAAAATTAACCAACACACAGTGTGTTTCCTTTTCCACCCTTTGAAACCGCTCTCTATTCGTGCAAAGCTAGCCGCACATCTTCGTCGTTTCCAACTCCGGTGCTATCGCTACCTCGACAACGAGCTAGGTATGTGTGCAGCAGCGCACAAAAAAGAAGAAAAAAAAAGAGAGAAAAAAACGTTTTCGGGTTCTTGCCACCCGTTTTTCCCAGTAGATCTCGCTAATTGCACCGCCGTGAATTACTCGCGTTTCGGTTTCAAAAAAAATCAAAACATAACCTCGTCGATTCGTACGAGAAGAAGACAGACAATAGAACGATACATGCGAATTGAGAGCCCCCGCCATCCACCGAGGTAACAGGCCAGACTCGGACAGGAGCATCAACGTCAAATCGACACCAACAAAACAGAACGCGCGATCCACTCAAGAACCTTGCAAGTCAAGCACTCCAGGCTCCAAAACAAATCGGAATCTTGAGAACTCGATCATGACAACAGGTGCGCAGTTAAGTCTCCTACACCACAGCCTGCATCGTCGATGTTGGATCATATGAAAAAACATTAGACAAGCTGCCGGAGTAGCCTCGTAGCAAAATATGAGGGTCTGACAGGCGGTAGTGCAATCTGTCACTGTACGTATCAAATCAAGCCCATTGGTGGAAGAAATTGACTGTTCGCGACAGTTCGTAACCGAACGGAATGTGGAGGCACTCGGTGGACATCAGAAATGGTTTAGAATGTCCGATGATGAAATCAAGGAAAAACAAAGACATTGACAACAGCAGCACCACCAACGACTGCCTCGCTCAAGGCACCAAGGCTCCCCGAAACACCGTTTATCAACTTGGAAGACAACCTCGACACGCGTAGTACCGCTTGATGCGACAGATCCACCAAGGAACGGCATTTTTTCCCACCTCAACTCTACAAGAAAGTAATGCGAGTTTGGAAGTAGTACGTGGGTTCGACGCTTGCTTGAAAGCACAAGGCTGTTCCTGGAACTCACTCCTACATAGGTGGATATTCGAACAAGCTTCTCCAGTTCCACGTAATTTCAAGAAAATTCTTGAGCATCTAAGAACCTCTCTTGTTGGCTTAAAGATTCGACCGCGTAATCCGATCGATTTTGCACCATGAGGATGTCAGACCTCTCAGACTACACAGCAAAACGACTCGTGGTAGACGATCAACAGAGCTATGTCACGTACGTAATGGTACAATCCTTCCGCCTTCTTTCCTCGGGCGTGTGACGTCACGACGCAAGACGGGGCACATGAACGAAAAGAAAATCATTCCATGCCTCTGACATAAAAAGCACAGCAGCACCCCCTTCCGCATAACGCATCTGTGCGAAACCCCTAAGAGCCCTCCGATTTACACCCACTACCACCCTGCTGCCGTCAAACTTACCAGCTGCGTGCCCCCTCCTCCCGCGGCCTCACCCATTGCGCTCCTCACTTATCCCTTGGAAATCCATATCCACTCGGCATTTGTGATTTTGGAAAACGCAACGACTCGCGCGACCGCGCGTTTTCGCTACCGCCACTCCCTTCCCCATCTTGGCACGCAAGGGACCAACCACTCTATGAGTGCCATGCCACCGATTCGAAACGAAATCAGAACAAAATACAAATTACAGGGCCCTCTCTCTACTGTTCGCCGCGAGTTCCCGCCGTACCCCCCAACCAAAATTAGCCACCAATCGGCAGACAACAAAACACAAAAAAGATATTACTCCGGTCAGTTGTACCGGGACAAGAACAACACTAAATCCTCTGCTGATACCTCCCCCCCCCCATTTTTCCCATTGAACACATGCAAACAAGCAAACACCTGCTGCGCTTTATCCACCAATCCGAGGGCACTTGACACGTGTCTCTCTCGCATGTGCCTCAGGGGGGGATAAGGAGCAGGTTGTCCGCCTCGTCAGAGCGAAGTGCATGCCTTTCTGTCCCGTGATAATTAAAAAACAACAAACAAAAAACTTGAGTCCCTTCATCCAAAACAAACTCTGCCTTCCTTCCCCAAACAGAAGACAAACCCACGCGTGTCTGACAAGCAGGCTCAAGCCGTGCCAGAAGCTGTTCGTGGCACAAGACGGACCATCGCGGCGGTCTCTTGTCGGCCCGATAGAGCGAAAATCAATGCCGCTTCTGTCGTTGGCGTATTATATTCGAAAGAGATGCGAGCGTAAATCAGTGCTGCTTCTCTCCTTCTATTCTTATAAAGCCATTGAGCGAGCGAACAAGAGGCCATGAGCAACGCCTTCCTCACCACACAAACACCTCCGCTTAACTCCGAGCTGGTTTGGTTTACTTACAGTCGAAGCTCGTGAGCGTGATGGCTAACGCCTGTCATGCCGTGCAAGAACCAGGACAAGGGTCAGGGGGGCAGGGGGAGGTTAAGAAAAGAAAAAGGGAAGGAGCGGGGTAGAAGAGGATAACTACACTATTGATGGGGCGGCTAGCCGCGTAATGGTACCTCAGTAATGCCTGATGTGTACCGTACTGAGCAGACAGACACCGGCTTTCTAGCGTTAAGATGGCCACAACAACAACAACAACAACAACAACAATAACGCAGATATTAGATACTTGCAGCGGAGACAAGGGGTGGCAGAAGTCCATGGTGAACTAATTCGTGCAACGACAGGGACAACGACAACAAGCACAACGAACAACAACGTAGATAGCGGCAACATACCTGCAGCGGAGACAAGGGGTGGCAGAAGTCCATGGTGAATTCATTCGTGTGAGTCCTCCCGAACTGCAAGGTGATCTGCTCCGTCACATCTCCCTGAACGACCAGCTGGAAGTTCTTCACGGACGCTTGAGTCACCCTCCCGTGGAAGTTCAGCACGAACGCCTGTACCTGTTGTTCGTAATAACACGGGGGGGAAGCCGGAGCATTGGTCGGGTGCGTACATGGGGAGGGGCTGGGGTTGAGGGAAGCGGGAGGCGAGACCATTCCGCGAATAACTGTTCACTATTCACGGAAGCAACAACGTGTGCATTGTACGTGTGTTCATGTGAACTGAAAAAAAAGAAATGAATGGTGTTGGGGAAGGTGTGTTCGTGCGTGAACAGAAAAAGTAACCAAGCCAAGCCACACATATGTATAGCAACACAACCACACCAAACCTAGGGGGGCATGGAATTGCGTTTCTTCAAGAGAAAAGAACCCGGGCTGCCCCACAGCATGCCACGCGGCCAAACGGTGTCATCATGGACACGGCAACGACGGCGACAACGAAAACCAAACGACAACAACTACTTCAACAATGACAACCATAGGACAACAACAACAACAACAACAGCGACGGCGACAACAACAAAGTACCATGACACCAAACACACCTTGGCGTTCCATCGCGGATTTCTGTTGATGAGGCAGGGCTCCTCTAGAGAGTCCAGGCTTCCCCTCAGCATGCGGTGAAGCAGGGACGATTCTGCCTCCACGTCCGCATTGTTGCCGTGCATGTTGCCCAGTACCACCCTCATCTTGCGGGGCCCCTCGTACCTAATATACCAGACAAGAAGCAGAACAAAGGAAAACATCAAGGAGGGGGGGGAGGCATGAAAGAGAGAAAGCAAGGATAAGTCCAAGGATAAGGGATTACAGTGGCGGCTACGGTTCAAGAGAGGGTCGTGACAAACCACTATTTCTCTATTAAATCCGGTTTTCTCTTAAACCGTACTGTGACATGTATGTATTTCTCATGGTCGTGACAAGGCAGTTTGACTCTTAAATCGGTAATTTCTCTTAAATAGTCTCTCTTAAACCGTAGCCGGCACTGCGTGTACAACTATCAATAGGGAGAGGGAGCTTGAGAGAGGATAAGTGGTAGAGGTGCGAGGCCGAAACAGGGGTTCCGCGGCATCACTGAGGCTGCCGGATGAGTACCCCATCTACTTTAATTGCCATGGCTTTCACGATGGAAGGAACCAGCACCGTATGACGTCATTAACATGATCGCCGTGGGTAGCCTCGTCCCGTCAGGAATACAGCAGCACGCACGTGGAAACGGCTGCGTACTCCCAAGCACAAAACGGGCGTGGACGGGGCGACAACTTCAGTACCACCGCCGAAACCCTTCATTGCCAGCAGCTACATCAAAACCCACAACCCACAACAAAAACAAAAACAACGAGAACACCATCAGCAGCAACAACAAAAACAACAGCAGCAGCATCAGCAGCACCAGCAGCACCAGCAGGAGCAACAACAATCTCACCGTCCATGCGGATCCATCTTGTCAGCCGAGTAGTGCACCGCAGCGACCTCCTTCTCCTTCCCGTTGCCCCTGTCGTCTGGACCGGTGAACCTCGGGCTAAACACCTGCAAGTACACACATACACAGGCCGGAGCTGAGCGTGCGTACCGTCTGATTCCTTCGTTGATGTCGAACTTTTTCGTATCTGCCATCTCACAAATCATCGTCGGCACGAAATGTAGACTACGCCTGTTGCGTCCCGCAGATGACAGAAAACATACATACCGCTCGAATGACCTTGCCCACACATAGGAACAATAGCGTTTTGCGAGGGAAGTCGAGTGCTCTCAAAGGTCTCCGGCCGATCCCGTGACTCCACCAGTGACGAGGGTTGCAAGAAGAGAGAGCGAGAAAAAACGAACACCCAAGAACAGTAATGTTATGTGGTATATGTGGTATGTGGTACCTGAAACTCCTCCGACGTCCTGGTGGTGGCCTTGAGTCGTCCCACGATGTTGCTGCTGTTGCCGTTGTCGTCACCGTCCTCCCCGTCCTCCATGCTCATCACGAACTGAGACGCCGAAGCTCCGCCTTTCTTACGAGCCGTCATCAGATAACGGTCCGGGAAATCTCCTGCCGCACGCGTGTGCCGTCATTTAGAGCGTACGGTACGGGAAGATGAAGAAATTGCGGCGGGATACATGACGTTTCGGTGAATAGGATGGCGTATCAACGACCTGAGACGCCGAAGCCCCTTCTTTCTTTCACCGCCAGCGACAAAGGCTGCTATCCTCCGGCCCCCCGCAAAAAACGGCACTTTTTCAAGCAGACCCAAACATGTTGATACTCTCTCTCTATCTCTATCTCACCCTTTCCCTCCATGTAGAGCTTGTACACCTCGTTGCCGCGGATGAGCTTGCTGAAACCTCGAACCTGTCGATATCAAATAAAGTCAAGAGCGACGGACGTTCAAACGACGACAGGGAGGAAAAACATTGTCTTCAAATGTGCAGCCTTCTTGCGGAGATTCCCCCCCCCCT